GAAGATTCCTGATTAGAGGTGAAAGAACATTGATATTTGTCTTCTCATCATAAAGAGCACAGTGTGGGAGGGGTGGATGGTAGCTCAGTGGTGGAGCCCTTGCCTAGCATGTGTGAGGCCCTGGGTTCAGTCTCAACAGTTTAAAAAAATGAAATTTTTAGGGAGGGAGAGCTTTACAATGGAAAACAGTATGCTGGTTTTATATTCTAATCATCCTCCCATGACTGGTCTTCCTCAGTCTCCAGCCAGAGAAGCTTTAACTATGAATAATGTCACTCTGTCGACATTTGCCATGGGAATCAAGAAATAAATTAACATTAATGTATTTTTACAAAGAATGTGATACCACATATATGTCTAACACAAATACACCTCGTGCCTACTTCTGCAATCTTACAATCACCTCCCCATTCCAAATCGTACTCCTAAAATTCTGGCCTCCCTTCCTCTGACTAATTAGACAGAAAATCCATATTTGCTATGATTTGAATGCCCCCCACCAAGTTCATGTATTGGAAACTTACGCTCCAGTCCCAGGGCTAGCAGTATTTGTTGGTGGTCCCTTCAGGAAGGACTTAGGATTACATGTGCTGGTGAGGGAGGGGCCCCCTCAGCCGGCACCGGTGGCCATGCTGGTGTGCTGGCTCTGCCTCACCATGTGATGCCCTTCAGCGCACTGTAGCGCAGCAGGAAGACCCCTCAGGTGCCAGGCAGAGGCTGAAACCACACTCCCAGGCTTGCCAGCCTTCAGCATCATGTGTCGATAATCCTCTATCCTTATGAGTTCCTTGGTCGCAGATATTTTGTTATTGCAACAGAAAATGCACTGACAATATATAAATCAAACGTGTATGCATGTGTGTGTTCTGCGAGCACATGTGTAGGTATGTGTGTCTGTGTGTGTGTGTCTGTGTGTGTGTGTGTGTGTGATTTCCTGATGCACTGGCAGTCTTCAGGTCCCTCTAATGGCCTGGGCTTTGTTACATAAGAGAGGTCTAAGGAAGATAAGGTAATCACTGACCCTTCTGGTACTCCGATCCACTCACATCAATCAACCTTATTTCTCATCTGCCTGGGGTCTGAGTTGGCCTTTGTCAGTTCAGAGAGGGAGAAGAGATGCGAATCCTGGGCGCAGTAGCTCTAATTTAGTTGGGAGGTGGAGGATGCTGTGGAGACACAGAGAGATTTTGAAATAGAACTGGAAATAAATAGCTGTTTTGTGCAGATCATTGCCACTTTCTGTTGGTGGATGTAGGAGCCTCTTCCACTGAATAAAGCTTTGGTTTCCAGCATAACCCTTTCCTTATTCATGTCTGACTGGACAGAATTGTCTATTTAAAGCAAATTGGGCAGAAAAAATTACTGGGGTGAATCCTGGGGGAAATCTGCCATCTCTGCTCATTTCTGCCCCTCTGCTGCCCCCCTGTGCCAACTTCGTGGCATTCTACCATCTCGGCATCCCTTGGACTCTTAATCCTCACTCTCCACCTTTCCTGAGCGAATCCAGTCACATCCGCCTAGGGCGGTTCTTATATCTCAGTTGTGTAACAAACACAGTCACAAAGTCACGGTGTGATGATTTCCCACTGTGGGGTCCACTTTCCAGGTTAGCAGGGGCTCCTCCTCCCATGAACCCAACAAGCGAACTGTCTGGCCCCAAATCCTACCTTTGTTCTTTTCCCCGTGTCCAAGATAGGCTCTAGTCCAGGAATAACAGTACCATCCGTTTCTTCCTCACTCTGATGATCGGGGTCCTTCCCACCCCGTGAGACCCGAGTGACCCCTCTCCTCCTAGGAATCCTGTCCTTCCACTCCAACACGAGGCACCTGACGTGAGCTACCCGGCAGAGCATAGAGCTGTCAAGGGCCGGGAACACACAGCAGACACCCAACACTTCAGCTTAAGCAATCTCTTAGCTAAATAATAATAAAATATGCATGTCACTGTTATGGACTTCGTTAGCACGTAATGTTGCACAAGCAGGAGTCCTTGCTTAACTGTTCTACTGGAAGGAAAAAAACAAAGGATAACAGAAACTAAGCCTTAGTTTGAGCACAAGCTCATTTACCAGGTGTGTTACCTCTGTTACCTCAGGAACAATAACAGTACCCACCAAAATGACTGCTTTGAGGATTAATGGAGATTTTGCATAAAGGAATTTAACGTGCCCTTGATGTATAGTTTATTTCTATGTTAGGTGTTATAAGACTTCCATCTTTTGGACACAATCTTTCATAAACTGTTATAACTTTATTTGTCAGGGAAGAGCTGTCAGTTAAACGTTGGTTGGTTTGCATGCATTGCTGCAGTCCTGGGCACTTCTGGAAGATTTCTTTTGTTCCTCTTATTTTAAATAAAATTAGCCACATGTAGAATAAATTTGCTTAAAGAAATGTATCACTACTTTCTCTAATAGTGAAGTCTAAATAAGCAATAGGATTAGCAACTAACCTAGCACAGTCATGGAAGAATTCAACCTTACAGCTGAGTTTACAAAATAATTTGGTATCACTGTTCTCTGTTGAAATGTAAAATTTCAGGCTAAAATTGGGTTTTGTCATTGTTGTTTTTCCAGTAATAAAAATAATGCACTTACATTAAAAAATTAGAAAAGACAGCAAAGACTTAGGAACGCTGATGATCTCATGGTTAAAGGCTAATCCTTAAAGAACTGGTAGACACATGAGCACACAAGTCTCTTCCTCTTTCTAACCGAGGTCTGTCCACTAGGACTTTGGGTGGTGGTGGTGGAAACCTCTTTGCCTGGCACCACCCAAATGGGAACCACCAGCCACAAGTGGCCTTAGGGCAACTGAGAAACTGAATGCTTTTTTTCTTTCTTTTTCTGTGCGTGTGACACAGGGTCTTGCTATGTAGTTCAGACTGGCCTTGAACTCACAGTGATCCTCCTGGCTTAGCTTCCTGAGTGCCAGGTTGAAAAGCTGAAGCTAAGATTCTACTTCACAGCAATTAAATTTATCATGTATTATTTTAAAGTTTTTCAGCTATCTTTCAAAAGTAAAAATTGTATATTTTCAAGGTATACGATGTGATTGTTTGATATATGTACACTGTGAAATGCTGGCTACAATCAAGTTAATAAGTTAATAATCAAGTTAATGAGTTCCATGACCACACGGTAACATCTGGGGGCAGTGTACAGATGTGTGTACGATATGAGAACACGAGTAGCTGTCCATTCTCAATATACAGTATAGTATTGTGAATGTTGTCATTCTGGTCTACTTTAGAGCAAAACATTAGACAACTGAAGTTTTGTAGCTTCTAACCAACATCTCCCACCACAGCCCCTAGGAACCAGCATTCTGTTCTATACTTCTGTAAGTCCATCGTGTTTTAGATTTCTCCAGATTCATTCATGTTGTTGTAAATGTCAATGTTTAATGGTTGAATAATATTCCATTCAGTTTACATATACCAAATTCTTATCCGTTAATGGAAATAACTTAAATTTCTTCAGTCAGATGTGGCTAATGACTACCATACTGGTCAGCGTAGCTCTCAACGGATGTTTTTACAACACTGGGGACGTAACATTACACTGGGAATATTTCCCCACATTATTAAACATCCTGTGAAAACACTATTTCAATGCCTCCTTATTTCACTCTATAAAGGTATTATTCATTTCAGCAGCCCTAATTATTAGGCAATTAGATTTTTCCATTTTAACTCCTGTAAATAAAGCTACAATAAACCACTTTACAAATAAACCTTCATCTGCGGCCATGATTACTTCCTCAGGATAGATCCCAGAGGAGAAATTATGAGGTGGAAAGATAGGAACTTCTTTGAGATTCGTTCCTGAAAGCTGGACCTGTTACAATGGGTTCACGTCTACCAGCGAGTTCTCAGAGTCTTGCCTCATTGCACCCCTGTCAACACTGAGCACTGCCTGGCTATTTTCCTTCAAGTCCGTGCTTAACTGATAAATTAAAATGACGGCAAGTGGCTGGATTTTCTGCCCATTGACTGGTGGTCATGATGGTCATGCAGATGGACCATATGGGTGCCCAAGAAGACAAGTAGTCCAGCCACATTAGGTGACAGTAGACAGACTGTCCACAGCCTCCTTCAGGGTGGGCCTTAGTTGCAAGAAGCTGCCTCCCCTAAGGTGAGCCGTCCTGGGCAGCCCACACCCAGGGCCTGAGAGATACCCAGGTGTGCAGAGAGGCCCCAGTGCCAGCTGTTCCCTCCAGAGTTCCTGACCAGCACCGCTGAGCTTTGTTGAACCTGCCCCACAGTGGACATCGCCACTCGCCTGACCCTCTTGCAGTGAGAGTCTCCAAACCCACTTTGGCATCCGCTGCTGGAGAACCCAAGTTGCAGCAGAAATGATGTTGGATTTTCATATTCATTTGACTTTCTCTTGTTTGTGTTAAGGATTATGAAGTCACTTCCAGGCAAACAGAAATAAATGCTGATATCAACACATACATTTCAGTTGAAAGATTTGTTTTATTTGAAGCAAAAGGAAAAGTAATAATGATGGGTGCATTTGATTTAAAAGTTAAAAATTTCCAAGTATGAAAACACCTTAGGCAAAATTTCTTAAAAGTGCAAAGTAGAAAAATACAAGACACAAAAGTTTAATACTTACCTAGAAAAATAACTTATGTGGCAAACTAAACTGAGTAATGAAATCATGGTACTGTCTTATCTTATGTTTTTCTTTAGGACATAAAACAACTTCCCACTGTGCTTTCTCTAGATTACCACAGACCCTTCGGGACTAAATTAGTTTTCTGAAATTTCAGATAATCTAAGATAAGGATGGTTTTGAAAACCACCAACAACCCAACAAGGTATTTTATTGGCGAGGAAACTCAACAAAAATGAAAATACAGCTCTGGGGGGACAATCACAGTTCTTCTAGCCTTCTGTTTCCCCAGATAGTGAGCAAAGTGAAGAAAACCCAATGTGAGGTCCCCTCACACATCACAATCTCCGTTAACCCCTGGCCTCCTCTACTTTACAGCGTTGCTCACAGATGACCTCACAGATGCAATTATCTGTGCCAAGAAAATCGTTAAGGAGACTCAAGGGATGAACTATTGGTAAGAGTCCCCCTTGGGCCACACAGGCTGTCGTGAGCAGAGCCCGCAGCGTGTCTGAGCACCATGGCTGTGGTGGCCTTGGACAAAGTGTCCTCCGCAGCGAGGTCCAGTGATGTTGCTGTGACCTCGTCCATCTGCTCCCCCATTGGAGTGCAGGTGTTCAGGGGAGGCAGAAGAAGGGGTGAGTGTGGGGAGAAGAGGATTATTGAGTCCAGAACATCTGCATCTTCACAAGAAGGTGTTTCAAACAATCGGAGAAAGAGGTACTTTCTAATGTGAAATGGAAAGAGCTCATCCAGACAACACAGCAAAGGAAGAGCTTGGGTTTGCTCTAGATTTGGATAAGACTTTGAGGGGGAACTGACCATGTCTATTGCGTAACAACTTAGCAGAACACTGCCCTGGGTCTGAGTGGGAGCCGTGGCCCAGCCAGGACCTGCTCATCCCGGAGGCTGTCTCTAGTGAACACTGCTTGCCGGACCACCCACTTAGGGATTCCGTATTTTCAGAGATGCAAGTGTGGCACTCAGTGACCCATTCCTCCAAAAGCTGTTTGCTTATTGCTGAGGTGAAAGACTGGGGGGAGAAGGAACCGAAGCTACACTCTGGGCAACACTGGTTATTCCAGCTAGTTCCCCATAGAACTCGGAATACATAGATCGCCACGTTTATGTGTATGGGTCCTGCTTCCCTCTCCTCCACAGGCAAAGCTGGAAGAAACGTTGTGAGGGCAGAGACCTGTCTGAGTGGGGAAAAGGATGTGAGGTTTCATGAGTGGGACTGGACCAAGAGGCCTTGCCCCGACTCCCCGGGATGTGTAATGAATGTCCAAATGCTCACATGATCTCGTCCCCCTTTTCCCAGTATTCTGACTCAGAGTTGGGGAGGGAAAACTGAACTGTATTTTAGGAAAATAAACATTTCCACTTAAATGTCTTCACCCTGAGTCAATTTCAATTATGTCATAGAAGCATGATGTTAAGACTTGAAAAATCATCTCTGGAATGTTCCAGACCTAAAAGGAATGAATTTTCCTTCTTCAAGGTAAGGAGTCCTACTGGTGTAGCCCTGAAATGGATGCTTGTGACCCTGAAATGGCTGCTGGTATGGCCCTGAAAGGGCCGCTCATTCAAACATTAGAATTTGAAGTCAATTAGACTCAGTGGGCAACGTGAATAGGTCTCTGGGCCATAGTTTGCCAACCACTCTCTAAAAGCATTCCACCATTCCCCTTCAACTAAGTGGACACACAGTGCATCCACAGGGAATATTCCTTTGTTTTCACGGGGCCCTCATGGAAATCCACTGGACAAGAGAGAAATTGTAGCTCTTATGTCCAAAGTCCCAAGACTTCCCACGTTATTCCAGCATCTATGAAATGAAACCTATCAAATTCAAAAGCCACACTTTAGAAATCCTCATGACAGAGATGTTTTTAGTCTTAGATCTGCAGGTTTTATTAGTTTGGCTGAGGGGAGTCTGAGTCCACATGCAGGGAGCTGAGCATCTTTGACCTCAAAGAGTTCTTCCCAAGGTGCTCTCTGCACCACACAGCGTGGCTTTCCCTCCTGGCCCATGGGGCAGGGCCGCTCTGCTGGGGGTTTTCTTGCGTAGTTATCTGTCCACCTTTCTCTGCCTTCAGGGGTAGAGCTGGTGGCAGGTGCCTTATTCTAAATTTAGGTGAAAACGGTAGGCTCACATTGAATGCAATCTGACCTAGAGAATGCACTAAGTTGAGGTTTGTTGGAAAAGACTGTCATGCCGGCTAACAACCTTCCCACTCAGAACAAATTCCCCACTGATCTGACTGAATATTGTGGCAATTCCTGAAAAACACTTCAATGTACTTATTTTCCAACCACCCAGGTTTTTCTGTGGGCTTACTTCATGCCCAGTGGCTTTACTTGCATGCTTACATTTTTTTTTTAAAGAACTGTTCATGGTCAAAAATAAATAAACATGAAATACATTATAATCATATAATCCTGGTACAATTTAACAGGCATTAAAAACCATGGAGAAAAAGCTTTTGAAGCTCACACAACAATTGAAGAATAATTCTATGTAAGATGACTGAAGAGAATTTGAAAAATACAGAACCCATTAGTTGCATTAAATCAATAATCTGTGCAAATAGAATTCCATAAATATGCATTTTTTACAATTATGGTCCTGTCATCCATCTTACAGTGCCCATTCTTAGCCAAACCTCCTGCTTCATTAAAACCAATGGCACCAAGTTGATGAGTAGAGTTGGCATGGATCTAGTGCCAGCCATTCAAAGACTAGGGAAAGGCTTTTAAAAACTAACAAAAACCAACTCCAAAAAATTCAAGGTAATGGGAAGTTGGCCAGCCCTACGATTTAATTGATCTTTCTTTTTGCAAAACTTGTAAAATGTATAAGCATGCAATCTTACTATTTTGCTCCCTAAAATGTTTTGTTTATTCATTATTTCTATAAATACTAATTTGGGATGAAAAATGCACTTTCCTGGATAATTTTCTGCAATACTCTCAGAAATTTAAGAGGAAAAGATTACTTCTTGAGTTATTCTTATTTAACAAAAGTACGTTGAAATTGCAACCCACATTTATATTCCCAATTATGGCTCCCAAGACATTTGGAAATAGATATTCATTTCTATTTTCTCCTCACAACTATCTTACCAACAGATTTCCAGCGCACTGGTCACACAGTTGAATATTAGGGTGTAGAGAAGAGCTTATTTCAGTACAGTCGTTCTTTGGGGACTTTGCCACCTGACTTTTGAAACCCTTCTTTTCCACATCTCTGTCCCTCCCTGTGCCGACTTGTTCTGTTATTTCTGTGTACTTTGTGAAAATGCCCTGCCATTTTCTTCGATGCTCCCTGAGTGCAGTGTGCCCTTTACCCTGGGAAATCTTTGTTCCTAGTTTTACACAAATGTGGAAAATCATGGCAACTTCCATGCAGCCTAGCTAAGCCCAGCCAATTCCTCTGAAACCAAGGACCTTTCCTCTGAACTCGTGGTTGTTGCGCACCCTAGAATTAGGTCACCATAAACCAGTTTTTTCTCTAAATTCCTTGAAGCCTGTACCCTGCATTGACTCCCATGAGTTTCCACAATCTCTTTTGCAGTACAAAGCGCATAACAGTTAACATTTAAAAAGATTTGACATTGGCTATTGGTTGCACTGAACGTAGGATTGCAGAAAAGTACAAAATAAGATCTTGCAGCTAGAACACTTTTATCTTCAAAATGCCCCTTACAAAACCCTTTGGACCCCGGGCCAAGCAGTCTTCAGTTTACACAGGTCAATGAGACATAGAAAGCTTAAAATATGAAAAGCATTTATTTTGATGTAGGCTCAATAACCCTGTAGGCCCCTTCTCCTTTCACATTTTGGGGCGCCGGGTATCCCCTGAAATGCCTCTAGATTGCAGTGCACATGGCTATCACGCATCTCCCTCCTCATCCCCGTCATCCTCCAGGCAGCCGTGGCACGGAGCCCGGAGCTGCCAGGCATCCTTTGCACATGACTGTGTCATAGATGGACCCTCATACAGCCAGCCTGCGACGAAGCACCTGGACCACGCTGGGGCTTCCCTCAGGACTGTGTATTAGTCGACTCCGTGCCGACGATAACCAAGTACCTGGGGCAAATAACTCATCAGGAGAAAAGATCTCTTTTGGCTCATACTTCTGAAGATCCTGGTCCAAAATCAGGAGACAGAACAGGTAGAGCCGGTAGCAGCTGAGAGCTGCTGGTATCTCACAACTCAAGAAGCAAACAAGAGACAGCAGGGACCCTACAGCCCCCTTCAAGGTCATGTCGCCCAGTAACCTCCCAGTAGCCCCCCAAAGGCCCACGGCCCCTCCCAGGAGCTCCGGTCTGGGACCAAGCCTTTGCCGCGTGGCCTTCGGGACGCCGCCATCTCCTACCCACACCGGGCGGGCAGGCAGGTACCGACTCCGTGCCGGAAGGGCAGCGGCACTCTTTCCTAGACTTCTGCCCCCGCTCACCCAGTTCCCCAGGCCTCGGCCTGAGGAAGAAGGACACGCAGCTTCACCAGGCCAGGCCCTGCGGCACGCATGTGAGCACCGAGCAGGCCGCGCTCTCCACAGGGAGGGTGACGGTGACAGTGAGGGTGAGCGGCGGCGACAGAGCTCTGCACCTCACAGACCGGCTTCCCGCGAGGACTGAGACTGTCTCTCCCCTTCTACACTTCTCTTTCTCCAGGGGGTTCCCACAGGTGATCGCCCAGAGCCGTGCAGACGCCTTCAGGGGCGCAGCGCGTTTCACGTGAACTAGGACATAGTCTGCCGAGAAAGGGCCAGATTCTGGCCGAGAGAAATCCCGTGCCAAACTGTGGCTGGATTTATTTTAATAGTTTGCTGCCGCCACTGCTGCCGCTGCTGCTGCTTCTGCCGCGGTTTCCAAGCAACAGGGTAAAAAGTTAACGTCGTGGCCAGACTTCCCTGCCACGACCCCTCTGGCACCCTCATTCTCCGTGAGGAAGGAAGAATGAAGTCTATAGTTACCTCGAAAAGCATTCATGCAGAAAGAAAGCCCAGATTCATAAGTAATCTGACTTCTGCATCACTTTTGGAAAGAGTATCCTGTTACCGGCTAAAGCAAACAGAGCAGTTTCCACCCCAGGAACTGGCAGGCCGTGCAAAAGGGCAGATTGGAAAAGATTAAATATTTGTGCAGAAGCCCAGCCCCCTCCACAGGGGGTGCCTTGGTCCGAGATAAAAGGAAAGCGAGGAGGGAAGGAGAGGGGACCCGGGAGCAGCCTTGTCTGGGTGGAGGAAGGACTGGGCTGGCAGGTGGAGGAGGAGACGAGGAGGAGAACTGCAGAGGCCCGGGAGGTGGGCTGCGAGGCCCCGAGGCTGCCCTTTGGCCCCTGCCCGCTCCTCGCCCGCCCGAAGCCTGCCCGCCGGCGGACAGCAGAGAGCCTGAGAAAAGGGAGAGCGGCCGGGACACTGCTACAAGCTGCAGTTTCCAACCTGCCGACAGCCTGTCAAAGCTGGTCTTCCATCTCTGAGACATTGCAGTGGCCTCCAGGAACTCGGAATTTGAAGGGGAGAAGGAAGGGGGAAGGGTCGCACCGCGGAGCGGGCGGCCAGCGCGGGCGGCAGAGAGACGGCCCATAGGATGCGAACCTGGGAGGAGCCGGCGTTCCCTGGGCTCCGGAGCTCCTCCAGCGCCCACCGCGAAGACAACC